GCCCCAGTGGCTGCGCCCGCATGCGGTTCCACCCCCCATTCTGGCACACCCCTCACACGTTTCGTGGCCCCATAGGGAGCTCCACCGAAGGCCCCAGTGGCTGCGCCCGCATGCGGTTCCACCCCCCATTCTGGCACACCCCTCACACGTTTCGTGGCCCCATAGGGAGCTCCACCGAAGGCCCCAGTGGCTGCGCCCGCATGCGGTTCCACCCCCCATTCTGGCACACCCCTCACACGTTTCGTGGCCCCATAGGGAGCTCCACCGAAGGCCCCAGTGGCTGCGCCCGCATGCGGTTCCACCCCCCATTCTGGCACACCCCTCACACGTTTCGTGGCCCCATAGGGAGCTCCACCGAAGGCCCCAGTGGCTGCGCCCGCATGCGGTTCCACCCCCCATTCTGGCACACCCCTCACACGTTTCGTGGCCCCATAGGGAGCTCCACCGAAGGCCCCAGTGGCTGCGCCCGCATGCGGTTCCACCCCCCATTCTGGCACACCCCTCACACGCTTCGTGGGTGGCTCCATGGGGAGCTCCACCGAACGCCCCAGTGGCTGCGCTCGCATGTGGTCCCCCCCCATTTCGGCACACCCCTCACACGTTTCGTGGCCCCATAGAGAGCTCCACCGAAGGCCCCAGTGGCTGCGCTCGCATGCGGTTCCACACCCTTTTTCGGCACGCCCTTCACACGTCTCGTGGCCCCATAGGGAGCTCCACCGAACGCCGCAGTGGCTGCGTTCGCATGCGGTTCCACCCCCCATGTCGGCACACCCCTCACACGTTTCGTGGCTCCATAGGGAGCTCCACCGAAGGCCCCAGTGGCTGCGCCCGCATGCGGTTCCACCCCCCATTCTGGCACACCCCTCGCACGTTTCGTGGCCCCATAGGGGGCTCCACCAAAGGTCCCAGTGGCACTGCCCGCTTGCGTCCGCCACCACCCAGCACAGCCCTTGTTCCCTGCGCTTCACCCACCCAGAACAGCGCTTCGTAGCCCTATAGGGAGCTCCACCAAAGGTCCCAGCGGCACCGCCCGCATGCGTCCGCCACCACCCTGCGCAGCCCTTGCTCCCTGCCTGCGTTTCACCCACCCAGTACAGCGTTTCGTGGCCCCATAGGGAGCTCCACCGAAGGTCCCAGTGGCACCGCTCGCATGCGTCCGCCACCACGCAGCACAGCCCTTGCTGACCGCGTCTCGCCCACCCAGTACAGCGTTTCGTGGCCCCAGGGAGCTCCACCGAAGGTCCCAGTGTCACCGCCCGCATGCGTCCGCCACCGCCCAGCACAATTGCGGCGTTCCCAACTGCATATGGTTGGGTCCTTCGCCAGGCTAATTACCAACCATCCTGTGGTGTTAGGTCCTCGTTTTGAAGAGACCGCGCCCCGCGTTCCTTCCTTCCTTCCTTCCTTCCTTCCTTCCTCTCCTCCTCCTCCTCCGCTCCTCCCTCCACCCTCCATTCTCATACTCGTCAGCATCGTCATCATCATCATCATCATCATCATCATCATCATCATCATCATCATCATCATCATCATCATCATCATCATCGTCGTCGTCGTCGTCGTCGTCGTCGTCATCATCATCGTCATCATCATCATCATCATCACCATTGCCATCATCATCATCACCACCATCATCATCATCATCATCATCATCACCATCATCACCATCATCATCAGCATCATCATCATTATCATCATCGCCATTACCATCATCAGCATTATCATCATCATCAACATCATCGCCATCACCATCACCATTACCATTACCATTACCATTACCATTACCATTACCATTACCATTACCATTACCATTACCATTACCATTACCATTACCATTACCATTACCATTACCATTACCATTACCATTACCACCATTACCATTACCATTACCCATTACCATTACCATTACCATTACCATTACATTACCATTACCATTACCATTACCATTTACCATTACCATTACCATTATTACCCATTACCATTACCACCATCCACCATCACCATCACCATCCATCCATCACCATCACCATCACCATCACCATCACCATCACCATCACCATCACCATCACCATCACCATCACCATCACCATCACCATCACCATCACCATCACCATCACCATCACCATCACCATCACCATCACCATCACCACCATTATCATTATCAAAATCACCATCATCATCCCATGCGTCGGTGCCATCCATTTCGGCACATCCATCACACGGTTTGTGGCCCCATAGTGAGCTCCACCGCAGGCCCCCCTGGCACAGTTTACATGCGTCCCCGCCACCCATTTCAGCACACCCCTCACACGGTTCGTGGCCTCATAGGGTGCTCCACCGCAGGCCCCAGTGACAGCGCCCGTATGCGGTTCCACCCTCAATTTCGGTGCACTCTTCACACGTTTCGTGGCACCGTAGGGAGCTCCACCTAGGGCCCAGTGGCAGCGCCCGCATGCGGTTCCACCCTCCATTGTGGCGAATCCCTTGCACGTTTCGGGGCCCCATGGGGAACTCCATCTAAGGCCCCAGTAACAGCGCCCGCATGCGGTTCCACCCCCATTTCGTTGCAACCCTCACACGTTTCATGTCCTCATATGGGGCTCCACCGAAGGCTCCAATGGCAGCGCCCGCATGCGGTTTCACCTTCCATTTCCGCGAACCCCTCACACGTGTCGTGGCCCCATAGGGCGCTCCACCTAAGGCCCCAGTGGCAGCCCCCGCATGGCGGAGCGCCAATTTTTGGCACGCCCTTCACGCGCTTTGTGGTCCCATAAGGAGATCCACCGACGGCGATACTGACCACGACGGTACCCTCAATTGCACATTGGTTGGGCCCTTCGCCAGGCTAATTTCTCTTACTATTTTAGAGGACACTTCCGTGTCGGCGGCCGCTTTTGGTCACGCCATTTCTGTGCTCAGCGAATTTGGGCGACCGATTCTTTGAGGCGAGCGGTTGGTGTGGAAAACCATCTCCCTCGAGGGCCGTTTTTTTCCATCCCGAGCTGTCGTTCAGTCCTGGGAGGCCGCAGGACGGCCCCTGGTGATACCGAAGGCGCAGAAGAGCCTCGGGCCCGACCTCGAACCTGCTCCAACTGCCTGGCGGTAGGCGCGACTTACTACGCCATGGCCGCGCGCGTGCGCGACGGCATTCGGCAGATACTTGCGCTGCCTTTCTCCCCGCTTTCCCCGTCCTTCTCCCAAGATTGCGCTGGAAAGGAAGAGGAGGAGGAGGAGGAGGAGGAGGAGGAGGAGGAGGAGGAGGAGGAGGAGGAGGACGAGCAGGGAGCAGGAGGAGGAGGAGGAGGAGGAGGAGGAGGAGGAAGGAGGAGGAGGAGGAGGAGGAAGGAGGAGGAGAGGAGGAGGAGGAGGAGGAGGAGGAGGGAGGAGGAGGAGGGGGGGGCCAAGCCCGAGCCCGGATCTCCTACGATCCGATCCTTTCATTCGGGCCTGCGTGGCCCGTCATCGGGCCCCAGGACAGACGGACAAGCCCAAAAAGGGACCTGGGGCGGAGCACTGACCCCCCGGGAAGGGGTCGGGCGCACAGTAGAGCACACCCCTGGATGTCTGGGAGTACTCCCAAGAACGCCGACGTCGTATATGTATATATATGTATTATATATATATATATAAACAAAAAAAAACAAAAAAAATAAAAAAAAAGAACGCCGACGTCGTATTTAGTTCTGCACAGCGTCCCCTGGAGGGCCACACCCCTCCGCCCGGACCAGCTTCTCCGCGTGAGAAGCTGTTTTGCACCGCTCTCCTGAGGCCCAGCAAAGGATCCCGGGGGCTGGAAGCGGCTCAAGGCCGTCCGTCTTGAGTCCTTCACGACGAGAGGAGGTTTGGTTTTCGCTTCCCAGTTCGGGCCTCCAGCGGCCGTCTAGGACGATCTGGGAACCCCTGAAGCGCCATCGGCGAGGCGGACCTGTTGGAGAGCATCTGGAGGCTGGAAACCCATAGCCCCGACGCTCCAAAAGAATTGGAGCGGGCGGTTTTTGGCTGTTTTCGGGTTCGTGGCAAATGCCGGGCCTCGGGACCGTCAAAAAACGGCCCAGGCCGAAAAACCGGCCCTGTGGAAGTGGTCCAGACCTAGACCTCCGGGGCCCGTGCATCGACAGCAAAAATTGGAGCGGCCGGATGCCTGGGAACGGCCAGGACTGAGGACAACTCACGAGGGCGCCCCGTCCTGCCTGGGGGCCCCGCGCGTGGCCTTCGGTCGGGCATGTCCCCCCAGAGGCGGGCTTTGAGCGACAAATGGAAAATCGCCAAAACAAATAGCCAAACATTGCCAAACTTCGCCACGAAATCGTCACCATATTATTTAATCGCTTCGCGCGTTCCGCCGGCCCTCGAGCGCTCTATGGGGCCTCTTTGAAGCCTCTTGGGGGCCTGTTTGGGGCCTCCTAGGGGCCTCTTGGGGGCCTCTTGGGGGTCTCTTGGGGCTCCTTGGCGGCGTCTTGGGCCCCCCTTGGGCCTCTTGGGGGGCTCTTGGGGGCCTCTTGGGGCGGGGTCGTCGAGTGCACCCCCCTCGGAGGCCACGATCCTCGTGAGGGGTGTCGAAAAACGGCCCTCAAAACCATCTCTGAGTAGACCTGGTCGGGCTGCGGTCGGGATATCTTTCGCCAGGGGGACCCCCAGGGGCCGCCCCGCGCGCGCGAACCAGAAATGTTGTTGACCAGTTACCGGAGATCTTAGCACGCCTCTGGCCCGTTGGGCCGGCGAATTTTCTTGTGCGATTTTTGAGCTTTCCTCCTGTAGACCCAGACCCCCGACATCATGATTTTTTCATGACGCGACCCCCAGAGGTCCAGACCCATTCCCCTGGACCGGTTTTTCATCCCGAGTCGTTTTCTGACGGTCCCGAGGCCCGGCAAGGACCCTCAGATGCTGAGAATAGCGAAGAACCTCCCGTCGTGATTTTTTCATGACTCGGGGAGTCCTGTAGAGGGACAGGCCCCACTCGAGTGTGGCCGGGAGGCTCCGCGCCGCGGGGGGGGCCCATGGGGCGCCCGGCGGCCCTCCGGTGCGCGGCGGCGGCGGCCCTCCTGTGCGCGGCGGCCCGGGGGCCCGCCCGCGGCTTCTCGGCGCCGGCGGCGCGGGGGCCGCCGGGCCGGTCGGCCCAGGCGCCCGCGGGGGCGGCCTCCTCGGGGGCGCCGGCAGGGGGCGGGGGACTGCTGCTGCTGCTGCTGCTGCTGCTGCTGCTGCTGCTGCTGCTGCTCAGCCACGCGCAGAGGGGGGTGGGGGGAGGGGGGGGGGCTTCTCAGAAGCCCCCGTGCTTCTCAGGAGGCGCGGGCGTTTCTATAGATGTAAGGCCGGCGCCTTCTGAGAAGCAGCCTCCTTCTAAGAAGCCCCCCCCTCCCTTCCCCCCCCTTGTGCGCGCCGCCTGGCTGTTGCTCAGGCGGTTCAATTCGTTGATGGCGCTGGTGATCCATGCCTGGGTTGCCTCGGCGCGGAGCCAGGTAATTATCCACACCGTCGTTGTTGCAGACTGGTCCTCGTTGCCACACCGCGCGCAGCGGTACACACAAGAGCTCTGCAGCTGCGCCGGATCTCGAGATCGAGCAAATGCACCAGCCGAATCACAGCAGCGAGGCCTGCCGCGTGGGCATAGCCCGTGGCGGCTCCCGGGGGCCGCCACGCTGCAGATCTCTGACGTTCTGAGTCGTCCTTTCGTCCCCCATTTTTTTTTTCAGGGTTTCGGCTTCTGGGGCCCGTTGCCGGGCTCCGGGATCGTCAAACATGGGTTCGGGACGCGGAGCTGCCCCAGGGCAAGGGGTCGGGAGCTCCAGGGCTGCGGCTTGAAACGGCCAGATCGGTGGATGCCCAGGGGCCCGGCCGAGAGGGAGCTTGGCCACTTCCTCTCGCAGAGAAGAACACGACGGGAGGTTTTCTGCCATTCGCGGCCTCTGAGGGCCCTTGTTGGGCCTTGGGACTGTCAAAGTAGCTTGGCGGAGGACCCAACCATTCGCAGATGTGAGTACCGCAATTGTGGATATCGTCTTCGGTGGCGCTCCCCATGGGGCCACGAACCGTGTGGGGGGCGTGCCGAAAATGGGTGAAGGGGACGCATGGGAACGTCGCCATTGGAGCCTTCGGTGAAGCTCCCTATGGGGCCTCGAGCCGTGTGATTGGTGTGCCAAAATGGGTGGCGAGGTCGCATGGGAGCGTCGCCTCTGGGGCGTTAGGTGGAGCTCCCTATGGGGCCACGAACCGTGCGAGGGGTGTGCCAGAACGGGTGGCGGGGACGCATGAGAACGTCGCCACTGGAGCCTCAGGTGCCGCGAGCCGTGTGAGGGGTGTGCCAAAATGGGTGGCGGGGACGCATGGGAACGTCGCCTCTGGGGCGTTGGGTGGAGCTTTCTGTGGGGTCACGAAGCGTGTGAAAGGTGTGCCACAGTGGGTGTTGATGATCGATGGTGATGGGAGGAGGGAGGAGGAGAGGAAGGAAGGAAGGGACGCGGGGCGCTGCCTCTTCAAAACGAGTACCTGACACCACAGGATGGTTGGGAAAAACGTCTTGGGATGAAACGGCAGGTCCAGACCACCAGGGGTCGACGCTGTGAAGAGTCAGGAGGCCAGAGTTCTGGGATCGCCCATGTCTCGCCGATCGAGGCCTGGGTGCTCCACTCCTCCCGTGAGCGCGGGGTTTCGCTGTGGGGGGCCGGCTCGCTGGTCTACCGACGATGTATCGTCGATTCCAGGTAAGACCAGGTGTGCGTGTGTGTGTGTGTGGATATCGTGGCCAGGGCCGTGACAGCCATCTCCCAGATGTTGTGCTTCCAGGGCGCTCGGTGGTCCTGACCCCCCTTCTCCGCCCGCGTGCCTCGGGCCGCGCTGCGCGCGCCCCCCCTTCTCTGTTGGCGCCCCTCCTCGGCGCGCCCAACGCCCTGGACCCCTAGAGGTCTGGAGCTTCGCCCGGGGACCGGCCTCTCACATCGAGGCGCTTCTCGACGGCCCCGCGAGGGCACACGGAGGCCGAAGCCTGCCAGCAATGTTCGTCATGATTTCTGCACGGCGCGAGAACTTTGGGGGTCGTCGGCGCACCCGAACCCTGAGAGCCGACGTTGCGCAAAACTTGGCACATCGCGAGAACTCGCGACCAGAACCCCAGGCCCCATCTTTCTGCGGCGTTGTCCGAGCCGGATGGGGCTGTGATCGTCGCGCGGCCCGACGCCCAGCGAAAACGCCAAGGGCGAAAGCATGGCAGCGCCCTGCTCTCAGGGAAGCCAGCCCACCTCTCCCCTCTCGGCTCCTCCTCCTCTTCCTCCTCCTCCTCCTCCTCCTCCTCCTCTTCCTCCTCCTCCTCCTCCTCCTTCTCCTCCTCCTCCTCCTCCTCCTCCTCCTCCTCCTCCGTTGGCGCCGTCCGCGAGGGGGCCCCGCCGGGCGGCTGCCGGGAGGAGGCCGAGGGCGCCGGGGTCGGCCTGGCCGCGGGCGCCGTCGGGCTGCGCGCCGCCGCCCTCGCGCTGGCGATCGGCGTGGCGGCCTCGGCGGCGGCGGCGGCGCGGGCCGCCGACGGCGCCGCGCCTCCGTCGGCGGAGAGGGGGGCGGCCGTGTTCGCCGGGAACTGCGCCGCGTGCCATGCCGGCGGCAACAACGCGGTGCAGGCCGACAAGCTCGGCGGCGCGCAGGCGTGGGCCTGCGCCAGGGTGGCCTTCGGTGCGGGCCCACGGGGAGCCCTCAGGCACACTCCAGCGCTGGCCTGCGCTCCTGGATTTTGGCCTCTGCGTGGCCCCCCCTCAGCCGCGCACCTGACGCCACCCCTGCCTGGGGTCACTCCTGCGCGCAGCCGGCAAGAAGCTGAAGAAGGAGGCCCTCATGAAGTACGGCATGTACGACGCGAGCATGATCATCTACCAGGTGACGAACGGGAAGAACGCGATGCCTGCGTTCGGCGAGCGCCTGGGGGGAGCAGAGATCACGGACGTGGCCGCGTACGTGCTGAGCCAGGCGGACAAAGGCTGGCCCTGAGGCCGTCGAGTCCCTGGAGCCTTGGACATCTCGTGGACCGTTCCTTCTCCTCCTCTGTCGGGCTTCCCTGAAGGGGCCCAGGGACATACAAATAAATAAACAAATAACAGGATTTTCAATATTTTCTAATGTTTTCTGGGTTTCTCTCTTCCCCCCCACTTCCCATATTTTCCATTTTGGGAGTCGAAATTGATTGTGTCTGTGTGTTTCTTTCCCTCCTGATTCCCTCTGGACCCAGTAGCCGCTCGCGCACGCGGTCGTTGCATTTTTTAAAACATCGGCTGGCTGCGAGGCTTACCGATGCTTGGCTGTCGGGGCGTACCACTCTGTAAATACCCACGCCTGGCGAGCGAGTTGAGTCTGGCCCCAGCCTAGAAGTTGTCGTCCGCTGACACGACCAGCTGGGCTAATCCAGGACCTCGCTGGTTCTCTCGTCGCAGCAGCGCGTGCTATTATTCAATGATGTATCAGAACTGACTGTTTCTTCAACTCCAGCTCGGCCATGGCTCCAGATGTGACATCATGAAAAAGGGGGGGGGTGCGGCGCGAAAGAAAAGGGAGGGAGTGCAGCGGAGAAGTGGGAGGGACGGACGTGATAGGAATAACATGTGCGCTGCTGCTAATGCTGTCACGGTGACAACCTCGAGCATTCTCTGCGGCGGGATCTGCCCCCCTCCCCCCTCGCCCCTCCCAGGCACCCTCCTTGGCACTGTCCCCCCACCCGCCCAAAATCTTGCTCCCGGGAAGATGTTCTCCTCGACAAGTGGCACTTCCATCTCCCTCGTAATACACATGTTGCTCCTTCCCCCTGCCTCCCAATGTCTACTCCCACTTGCTAACCCCGACCAACTACTCCATGCATCGTGCCCCCCCCACCCTACTCTGTACTTCCCGACTCCTTCCCTGATGAATGTTTACCGCTCCATATAATGTACGGCCCTCCTACTCCTCAGAACACGATTGCCTGGTGTCTGGCTGCGTCCTCGGGTATGTCTGAGGGGTCTGGGGATACGTAGAGAGAGGGGGGGGTATCCCAAGTTGGGGTTAGGAAGCGAGCCCAGCTGGATGCTCACATCTCCTTTTTCCCATTGCCGTTGAGGGCGATTTCCTCCAACCTCACCTCTGCCCCTACCCTACCTTCAGGCCCCACCGAAGGTCGATTATCGTCGCTTGTCGGCTCATTGAACTATAACCGAATATTCGGAATTTCCCCTAACCTCACCTCTGCCCCTACCCCACTTTCAGGCCTCTCCGAATATCGATTGCCGTCGCTTGTCGGCTTATTGGGCCATGGCGGAAGGCTCGAGGAGACCCCGCGGGCATCTCCGTTTTGCTGGCTACACTTCTGCAAGTGCTCCATCAGAGTCTGTTGGCCCCTCTTGCGTGTCTTGCTGTGCTTGTAAAGCTCGTGTCTCGTGCCAGTTGCTAGTCGTCCGCATTCGGCGTCTCGCTTCTCGGTCCTCCCTCTCTCTCTCTCTCTTTTTTTTTTTTTTTTTTTTTTTTTTTTTTCTCTCTCTCTCTCTGTCCTCTCCGCCCTCCACTTCCTCCTCGACGTGTTCTAGCACGCTGGGGTCCCCTCCCCATCAGTCGGGAAGCCGGCGCTTTTCATCAGCGGGCCTTGGTGCAAGCTCGGATTCACGAAGGTGAAGCGATGTGAGAGTCTCACCTTCCCCCTCCTCGTTCCAGGTCGCGCGCAAGCGTGCGCCACGCGGCATGTATGCCGCCACGTGGGTGTCGAGGGTGGGTCCGCTCGTCCCGCCCTTCCGCTCCCGTGGCGCTGGTGCGCAGCTGGGGCTGGGAGCGGCCTACGAGAGCGTACGCGTGACCAATGTAAAAATCAGCGGGCCTTGGTGCAAGCTCGGATTCACGAAGGTGAAGCGATGTGAGAGTCTCACCTTCCCCCTCCTCGTTCCAGGTCGCGCGCAAGCGTGCGCCACGCGGCATGTATGCCGCCACGTGGGTGTCGAGGGTGGGTCCGCTCGTCCCGCCCTTCCGCTCCCGTGGCGCTGGTGCGCAGCTGGGGCTGGGAGCGGCCTACGAGAGCGTACGCGTGACCAATGTAAAAAACTGCAGGAGGATGAGGAGGAGGAGCTAACGAGTCCTCGATCGGCGCCCCGTCCCGCGGAGAGCTGTCGGCCCGAAACGGAGAGGGGGGGGGGCTCTGCCCAACGGGGCCGCCACACGCGGTGTGGTGTGCCCTCGGTGCAGCTCCGCCCAGCTCCGCCCTTCTCGCGCTGCCGAGCGGGACGTTCTGCAGGGTGGCGCCCGCGGGCCCGTGGGCCCCCTCCTCCTCCTCCTCCTCCCCCTCCTCCTCCCCCTCCTCCTCCTCCTCCTCCTCCTCCTTTTGTAGCCATTTTGGCTCAAGATGGCTTGTTCCACAGGGGAACAAGTGGATACCGCTAGTCCGCGGCCAGTGCCAGGGCGCCTCTGCCCGACAGTTTTGTTCCAGCCGACGGGTCCGCCCCCGTTGGCTGTTGCCTGTCGCTGCCCCGCGACTGAGCAGGCTCAGACGCCCGTGCGTTCCCGCCCATGCCAGATGGGGTCAAGCGCAAGAAGAAGCCTCGTGCCGTACGTGGTTCTGGTGTCGCTGCTGATAGTGATGCGCGTCCTGGTGCACAGCCTCCTGCCACTGGTGACGACGACGCTCGTTCTCGCTCCAACAGAGGTGCCTCCAGCGATGGTGAAGAGGATCTCTTGGACTCGGATGGCTGGGAGGAGCACATCAAAGGGCTCATACACGGAGAATTGCAGGCCAAGTTCAGCATCTTCCAGTCTGAGGTTACCGAGCTCGTTACCGCGCCCGCCAGCAAGGCTGCCTCCTCCGCCGTTGACCCTGTCATGGCCGCTATCAAAGGTGTCGAAGCTGCAGTTCAGCAAGTGCCGCAACCTTGTAAGTCTCAACTGGAAGCGCAACTTCGTCCAGAGCTCGATGCCATGCAAAGACGCCTGCAGCTGCACATCGACACCATCCAGTCTTAAGTTCGTGACATCGACACCCGCACTGGGACGCTGGCCTCGGACATGGAGGAGCTCAAGTCCCTGGTTGATGAGCTGCGCAAAGAGTGAGTGGTCGCAAACAGGGCGCCGCCTCCACCGAAGCCGACACCTGGGTTCACGCGTGCTGTTGACGGCTCGATTCTCAAGGTCGTTGCTCCCGCACCCGTCAAGAAGAGTGACGTTCAGGGATATGTGGTTAAGTGGATCAAGGACGCAAACATTGACGGCTATACTATTCAAGGCGAGGGCCAGGACAAACTCTTCTCGATTCAGTTCACGGGTGCAGTGGGTATTGCTGGAAAGAAGGTCACGGCCGCGTTCTCAGCTCTTCGGCTTCCTGGGAAAGGACAATGGATGCGCTCCCCCATTCCTGCAGCCAGCGGGGGTAGCACCCAGTTACATATCGGTCCCGACAAGAACCCTTATCATATCAAGATGGATATCACAGGAAAGCAAATGGTTGCAGCCCTCCGCGAAGAATTCAAGGATGCCAAGTTCTTCTTCGGTCGTCACAATGGATGGACCTCTGAGAGTTGGAACCCGATTATCGGGATTGAACCGCAGCCTGGACGAGATCCCACGACGATTTTCTGGCACGACGCCGCGATCACCGCACGACAATGGTTTCGAGCTGAACTACGGCGCCTTCTTGATCCAATCGCTGCGCCGACGGGTGCGCCTGAGTGGGCGCTTTAGCATCTTCGATGACATATTCTTGCATCATGCAACTGGCAGTATCCCTCTTAAGTGCTCTGAGCTGTCCTTCGTCACGTGGAACGCTCGAGCGCTGCTACGTTGGAGAGGTGTGCAAGCAATAGCTAAGGCGGCTTACTTACAGATGGCGGGGATTTCTTCATCTGTTTTTGCTCTACAAGAGGTGCATCAATCATTAGACGAGCTGCGATTCTTCTTGAGGCGGATAGCTCCAGAGGTTACCGTATTCGGCTCGTTCGACACCGACGCCTACGGTCATGCGCGTGGTGGGGTCGCAACGGTGGTACCGCTTTCTGCTCAATCGGCGGCAGCTTCCTCCTCTCGCTCGCTGGTTTCAGGCCGGGTGCTCAAGACGTGGTTGTTTGGGACACATGCTGAGATTCGCCATTATAGCGTGCGCAACCATGACCTACATCATGACGATGTTCAGCGGATATCTTCTATGATTGCATCTGGTTTAGAGTGGGCACAAGCCGACCCACAATCAAGACTGGTGGTTGTGCGCGGGGACTTCAACTTTTGCTGTATCGGAGCCACGACACCTTGCTCAGCCGTGCCTGAAGCGTTCGGCCCGCCCTACCAACAACAATCGTACGCACATGAAGAGCTGGATGGCGGTGCTAGACAGGATGCTTGAGATCTCATCAGAAGGCCCTACACATTATTGCAAGGACTCTCATACTGTCGCTCTGCTTGATCGGCTTTGGTTATCCGAGCCTGAGTGGGTCGCTTGCCAACTTCATCACTCGGCAGCTGTGGTCTCGTCTCCCGAGCGCCTCAGCGAGCGGCGCATCTCGGATCACGCAGCTCTTCGGGTCCAAATACAGCATCGCTCTGTCGACGATAACTATCGGCGTCCTGTTCCGCGTTTTGTGTATCTCTGTGATGACTTTCGCGCTCGACACGACAGGCTTCTTCGCCAAGATGGCCGATTCTTCGCTGATATGTCTCCTCCTCGCCAGATGGAGAGGTGCAAGGTGCTTATGGACGCAGCGGCTTATGATACGCTTCAACAAATTCTGGTCACTGACATTGAGAAACCTGAAGCGCAACTGATCTTTGCTCGGCAAGCCGCGCGCGCTATCTGGCGGCAGGATGTGCTTCTTGCGCAGAAGGTTTTCAACTCATCCGAGGTCTTCAACGGCTGCGTCAACATCACCTTCGAGGGCCTGGTTCAGTTGGTGCACCCTGCGGCGTTTCAAGCATGGGTGGAATCCATTCAACACCGTGCGGCAGAGGAACAACTGGCAGTTCTCCAACAGGGTGCCCTTCATGGGAAAGGCCGTGCTAAGGTCTCGCCTGGTACTCTCTCGGCAGCACAAAGGAAAGCCAAGCTCTGGGTCCCCTTCGGCAAGCGGTTCACGTTGCGCGCCATTCAGGTCGACGACCAGCAGTTTTCTGATCCTGCCGAGAAGCTGAACGCGTCGGCCAGCTATTGGGCGCCTGTGTCAGCGCGCCCACCGTCGCACCCTGTACATGCTGAGAGGTACACTCAGAAGTTTGTCAAGCCG